CGGCCGTTTAACTTTTTATCAGAATTGGGCAATATGGTGTTTCAATCAGACCTACCAAGCCGCAGCACCGTCTTACTTAGTTTTACACTCAACTGTGTATATTTTCAACCTCTCCTTATTTCCTTTACCATAAATAGTTTACCATCGAAACCAGCAGGAAACCATACCAGATGTAACAATTTTTATCAAAAACGACAGAGAAATGATGCCGCAACTAAGCGCAGAAAATGTCTTTTCTGCCACAGGAAGAAAATAAGTTCCCTGACTTCTCATGCGACGTCCTAAAATCCGACCTCAACATCCGCTACAGCTGGAGCAGCTCAAATTGATAGCACGTTCGCACGTTCGGAGTGCACGCGTGCAGGCTGTTTTCCTTAGCAACTAGTTATTTATGTTTTTAAAGGCAGCGCTCAGACCGAAAAATTAACTAGACAATCTTAACACGTTAGTGCACTGAGCTCTGAAACTTATCTAGAATTAAACCTACAAACATAGCAAGATGCAGTTTTTGCGATATCAGGTAAGATTTCAATTTACTCTACACTGTAACGCAAGTGAAGCTGGAAGGCCTAAATGGGAAAATTTACGCGCTAGATTGACCAATACAGTGATTGATCTTGACAGGGTGTTTCGATGATCGTCTTAAGAGGATTTTTTTTTCTTAAGAGGCCAGATACGTGAAAAGTATTTGAACAGGCCTCGCAACTATCATCACATTTTAAAATTCAATGATAAGGAGCGACTAGTGCCACTGCACAGAATAACAAAGGGCGAAACGTTCTTATTTTAAAGATTCAAATCCGGCCAGTCCTTTTCAAGATGGGGAAGTTATGGGTCAATAAATAGCAAGAAGTATCAAACAATGGAAATCGATGATAAATGATACTCTATGCCAACTGTTCGATTGAAACCGGACAAATATCAAAGTTTTATTCTGTATTTATAAGATCAGAAATGTTGCTTTCAGTTATCACGAAGAGTTTCTAACATTAGATAACCTTCAACCTTCTCTATACTAAAAGGGAAGATTCTTCTTTCGGCAGGGGGAGGAAAGCACGACAAAAATCACTCCTTGAAACACTCCTATTTCTGCGTGTTTACAGGCGTAGGCTTAAATTTATTACATTCTGTACCCAGTAAGGACACTCAAAGGATGTTGGATGTTATTAGTCATATAAAACTTCTTTAACATTGG